TATACTGTATACTACTATACACGGGGCATCGAGCGGAGGAGAGGCGGTGGCGTCGGCAAAGCGGTGTCTGATTACACCCGAGATGTCGGGACTCGTTGCCGCGAAATGCACTTGTCGTTCTCTCGCTCGCTCGCTCGCGCGCGCGCGCACGTCCCCCATTCGGCTTTGCTTTGCCGTTGATGCTGTTGCTGTTCGATGCCGCTACTGATGGACTGAGCGCATATTATACACACGACTATTCGTATTAAACGAATATACGATCGCGATGCAAATAACCGACCTCCTTGTTTCTTCATTTGCGCGTGCACTTTTGCATATCGTACATTCGTACATCGCGTATCGAAGAGCAGCTTGAAGTCGGATTCGTCTTTTTTGGAAATCCATGTGCTCGATAACTCATTACCGAGAATCTTTCGAAAAAATCCCTCGTGCTGGACATAGTAAGCTGCCTGTATTGAATGACCTTTATGTAAAGTTTCATCAAATGTATACATGCTGAAGTATAAGAATTTTTGATACTTTCAAACTTAACAGGACTCAGAGAAAAATATTTGTGATTAAAAAAGACTTCGAAAACCAACAAAACGGATTGTACATCTGAATGGACTGCTTTAATGAAGTAATACGTATGCTTTCTAGCGCCATAAGCCTTAAATCTTCTGATCACTCCTCATTCATGTATTATTCAATATCATAAGCTCATCAATCATCATAATCGGGCATTTAATTTCGATTGTTTGACACATTCTATATACTAACTACATGCTAATAGTGGTTTTCATCAAGAACATTTTTTTTCTTGGATTCAATTTTCTTTAAAAAAATGTCAACTTGAAATAACTGTACAATTTTGTTTTGCCTGTAGTAATTTTATGAAAAAATATTTTAAGCTAATAAATTGAAAAATATAAATTTAGCATTGAGGTAAAATGATAAATGTTAAATCTGATACAACTTTAATTTTTAGTAATAATGAGATGCTAACTATAAATTTTATTTTTCACGTAACAATATCAAATAAAATGAATTAAAAACAATTTTGTGCACGCAAAAAAAATCTGATCAGTATAATCACTTCATAAATGAATTTCGGCAAAAAGCTGGGCATTTAGTTAAAAATGATAAAATATCGAGCACACATAGGCGCCGTCACAACACTCGCGTCTTCACGCACTCTGTAACTCCTCTCTACGTCTGGCATCACTGACTGCCATTCTCTCCATCGCACAGCACAGATTTGATTTCAACTTACGAAATTAACCTTAAATATTGCACCTTTTTAGCGATATACGAGCGGAGAACAATGGGGCCTAACCACAAAACAGGAGCGGCGTTTACGAGACTTTTAGCTGATTTTCTGTGAAAAGTCGGAGCGGCTCGCGTGTCATCTCTCTCTGCTATTCGCAAGAGTGTCGAGGAGCGCGACAAAGCGCCGGTAGCGCCGTTTCGTGGCTAGATTCTAAATAACAATGGCGCCTAGGCGGACTCCACCCCTTGGCCCCTCCGCAGCTTCGCAGCCAACTCGATCCCCTCCCCACGGCCCGCAGTAGCGAAGGCGATGCATCTCCCCCTCCCCTCTCTCTCTCCAGGCAGCCAGTCCCTCCCTTTGGGCCACGCCCACTTCCAAGCTCGAAGACTCGACGCGCGCTGCTGGCAGGCAGCGGCGTAGCAGCGACTACTGGGCGCTCGCTCGGGTGGGGGGATAAAAAGCCCCGGGGAGGGGAACGGCGCGCAACGAATACGAGGGGATAGCCGAAAAAAAAACAATCGGTATAGGCACGGAGCGGCGCGGCGTTCTGCGAAACGGGGTGGGAACGAGATCCCCGAGAGCTCCGACTCGAACTCGCTCTGCTCGTCGTCGAATGGATATGTTGGGCAAGTGAAGCGAAGCAGGCAACAGACGGAAGGTACTTGCTGCAGCAGTAGCAGCAGCCCCAACGCAGCCGAGCAGTATCGGTCAATCGCGCCGCAGACGAGGCCAAGCGCACACGCCGTGTATAGCTAGTATTATATATACAACACGCATACGTACAGGGGGAGAAAAGCAACTTATGAACTGAATTGAACGGAGCTGAGATTCGGTCTTTTGCGCCTGACTTGACTCTCTCTCTCGCTCTCGCGCGTTCTCTCTCCTTTCTCTCATCGGTCCGTGGATCGCATCACGTGTTCGCTCTGCTGCTGGGCATCACCGACGCTAGACGACACTCAACCATAAAACACGGCTCGTCTCGTACCGGAGCCGAGTTGTGTTCGGTGATTTTACCTCGCTACGATTCGTCCGTGAACTCCGTTTGTTCGATCTCTCGACGAACTCTTGAGATGAATCAATAAAGTGTTATCTGTGTGTTTATGACTGTTTTATAAGTGAAAATATTATGAATTCTGTGACGCTCGATTAATCTCGAACGGTGAACTGCAGTTGTCAACTGTCTCTCGTGTCAAGTCGCAATATCTGTTGCAGTTGTTTTGTTACGTAAATATATAAAAAGTGAACGAAGCATATCGCGCGACAGACTGCGCCCCGAGAGGACTGTGTGAAAAATATATAATCAATCGAAAGGATCGACCGTTGGGCTCGAGGCACACTCGTCTAGCTCGCTCCATTCTCAGGTGGTAAAAGAAGTGTGTCTCGTTCCGACGAGTGCAGTTAGTGATTTAAGCTGGTGACAGGATCCGGCCTGACCACGGCCATTCTCGACACGGTAATTATCTCCTAACTTTTTTCAACAACTTAACAGCAGCCATCGGGTAGATTATCAAGCGCAAATTCACCAGTTACTCTAATCAATCGTAAAGTAAATAATTATATCGTAATAAAATAGTGCAAGCGTTATCGCGGCCAAATCTCTCTATTTTTTAATTCATCCTTCTCATCGTGTGCATAGTGCTGCCTTGTGCGAGAGGCAGTCGATGAAGCGCCGGGGCACCGCCACCGATGCCTCTCGCTCGCGTCAAAAGATTTTTTATCTATCTGTCACGCTGATATGACGGATAGCTAACGTCCGCCGGCGGTATACTACATAATATATGCGAAGTACATATAAACATCCTGAAATGCTGTCATCTATGGCGCCAAACGATATATACCTCGGTTTCGTTCGTTCGTTCGTCGGCGGCGATTATATGCACTGCCCGATCTCTCTCTACTACATTTCGCGCTGTCTTTTATATGTGTAAGGCTTATTAGCGCTGCGAGATGTGTGTGTATATAACTAAACTACTACACTCTAATATGCATCGCTCGCGCGCGCGCCGATCGCGAGTAGTAGTAGTAGTAGCAGTAGTAGTAGTAGTAGTAAGAGAGCAAACCCGATATGTGTGTGTGTAACGGCTTTATTATTATGTTTTTTCGCGGTACGGTCTTTTTCATCAACCGGTTTTTAGCGTACGTATGTATCCATGCGATGTGTGTACTGTCGTGCACGCCTCACTTATACATGATTAATGAGTTTTATAAGTATCTTGGAAATTCATTAAAATGCCATTAATGTTGTCGTAATATTTTCCGCGATTCGGTACAAATATTGCTCTCTCGTGAGTAATATTCACCCGTGCGTATGGTCGCGGCGATTTTGCGCTTAAAGCTTGTGTGTGGCTATGGGTATATGTACTTTCGCTTGGCAACAACTGCAGGCGTTAATTTACTTTTTGCGCATATGTACCGGACGTGCACGGAGATACACCGCGAGACTTTGAAAATTAATTTAGTTGATAAAATATTAAATCTGCATAGAGTGGAAGATTTACTGGAAAATAGCGATAATGATAAAAATACGTGATGTTTAAAGATGAAAGGAAAATTATTACAATTCAATATTCGAGTGTAAATTTCAGATAAGTAATGTGAATTGAAAGAAAAAAAATGTAGAATAAATTAAAACGAATAATTTTAAGTACACCAATAATAGATTTTTTTTTATTTAAAATTTTTCCTCGCGCAAAAACTGAAACAACCATCATATAAATTGCATTATAAGATGATAAAATATCATTGTAATCTCCCAAAAAACACATTTTTCTATGAAATGGATAGCTAAAAAGTTAATATTCTAAAGTTAAAGTCTTAAGAACGTTAATTTTGGAATGTTCCAATGAATGTTAAAAAAGCCTCAAGCGCATCAGTAAAAGAAACGCATCGCAACGGGCAATAAAGTTCGGACTGCGTGCATGGCGCGATTGGATTTAAATGAAAATCGCTGTCGGCGCGCGTAATCCCCATCAATTTACATGCCGGAGAGCGACGGCGTCAACGAGCGCACATATAGTACAGGAGCAGCAGCAGCAGCAACAGCAGCAGCATCAGCCGCAGCAACGCGGCTCGCGATGACACACGAAGAATGCAAAACAGCAGCAGCAGTAGCAACGACGCCGCCGCCGCTCTACCGTACAGTTTGCAATGTGTGTGCGGCGCACACTGCAACTCGCGGGATTATAACGCAAGCTCGAAAACATTGGTCATCCATTTTGCCAAACGTTTACGACTCTGTGCGCTGCTGCTGCAGAGGCGAGCGTTCGGGAGCTTTGTGCACGTAGTATATGTATGTGTGATACGCGTGTATACGACTTTGCAGTACCCATGCCGTTGCACAGACCGAAACGGTGAAAAACGACAAAATGGATTTTCAAATTATTTGCTCGCGTCCACCCCACAACGTGTTGGGTGTATATCGGGTATACATATAATGTACGCGCGTGGCATCTCGTGACGTGAGTCTCGCGCGTTCGCGAGAGTCGAGCTTTGCATTATAAATGCGTGTATGCCGCACGGCAGTAGCCGTAATACTTCGAAGTTGGCCATTATTCGCGCCAATTTTCGCTCGGACGAGCTTCTGTACACGCGTGAAAAACGATAGTAATTTTATTTACAAGCCGCGGACGCGTATATTTTTAAATATAGTTTATTTTTCGTCGGGTAATTGAACGAAACGAAACACAAAACCAATATAATATGACGATTGTGTTGTGTTGCAGCATTGTGTTAGCGTGGCTGGAGGTGGGGGTGGGGGAGGTGGAAGTGAACCAGGACCCTCGGACTACCCACCTAGCGCTGCAGCAGCGCGAAACCGGGAGGCTGCCGCGGCAGCGGCGCTGCACGCCGCCAGAACTCTGTTGGGCGCGGGGGTGGCCAACCCTTGTCCAACCACCCCCGAGCCGCCCTTCTGGAAGATGCCGCACAAAGGTTTGTTGATACAATGAAATCATAATAGAGAAATTACCATAACATTTCACACCTCTTATAAATCATAAATATCATAATTGGACAAGTTGAAAAAGTCGTCGTTATAATACTCGAACTGAAAGTAAATACGAACTTGCGGGGGAATACATTAAAAAAATGGCAAATACAAACAACCGCAAACAATTAAAAAATATTGAATTTTCGTAACCATCGGTGGTCAGGTCTTTTTGCGCGACGCTTTTGCGGTCCGAAGAAACTTACTACACTCGAGAGACCCGAGCGCAATAGATATATATCGTAGCTTACGCGCGCAGCCCTCCACCTCCCATCGTCGTAGCTGTCACCGCAAAAGAGTTAAATCTCCGCGACGACGATGACGACGACGAACAGGGGGGTTGTCTGCGTACGACGCGACGCGATCGGCACGTGCACGGCGAGCTGCTTGCAGTTACGTAAGTAGCTATAAAACACGCATACATATCGCGCATACACGTACAGAGTAAAAGTATATGTATATCGGACGCAGGTAATAGAGTCGCGGACGGGGGGTTGGCGAGTAACCCTAGCCGCCACTGCTGCTCGTCTTATCTGTGCTAAGGCTTCTGTCGGGCCAACAGCCCCTCGTCATCGTAGTCATCGTCGAGCTCGCTGCGCGTCAATCCCAGTCGCACCGCGGAGCAGCAGAAGCAGCAGCAGCAGCATCGTGGCCTAAGGGTTGCACCTTGCGCGAACTCGCCACTGCGTTACAACTCGCTCGCCCCCGCGCGCGCAGTACACACATATACACATAGGGCTTATAGCTCTTTCTCTCTGTACTCGTATACATATAATACTGAACCCTATAAGCGGACAAGTTAATACCTCGAGCTATGCCGTATAGGTTCGCGTACGTAGTAGCAGCGATTCTTTGATGAACCTCTTACCGGCTATATACGTATACCTGGGCTCTCTCTCTCTCTCTCTCTCGTATATATGGCTACAAAGGCTGCTGTGCTGTATGTAACAAGGTGCCTCATGCCTACCCAGCGGCTGCGGCTTGGAAAGCTCAAGCTATATATGCAATATGAATCGTTCCGCTGCTGCGGCTGTGGTGGTGGTTGTGCAGCCAGAGCAGCTGAGTGTGTGTGTGTAGAAAACGAGCGTATTATTATTTCGTTATGGCTTTATAAGTTTCACATCGATGAAAGGAGAAGCGAGAAGAGCGCGCACGAGGCGCTTTAATACACGTGGCGGGGCTAGAATTACCACCGCATCCACTAGAGTGAGAAAAGCCGTGGCGTTTCGGCGAGCTAATGCATTTATTGTCGCGCTCGTATTTGAAATTCGAATCTGCGCGTGCGATACCTGTTGTATAAGTATATAAGTACAATTATGTCCTTGAAATAATTACGGTTTTGGTATAGTACTGAAATATCAATTATCGCGTATTCTTATAGACAGAATTCGACGTTGTCTCTTAGATTTTCCCATGTCGTGTCTAACTAGTCCCAAAAACAAACGTTCAAATGATCGGTGGCCAGAATATAATAGACGATCGCTCATCGAGCTCATCAATCAAATTTCGTGTGGCGCGCGCTCCGAGAGTCTATTACCTGAACGGCCTAATTCCGTTCCACCTAATTTTAATATCCTAAATTAATCAAACAGCTGCTCGACTTACAGAAAAAAAAAGATGAGTACAAGATGTATCATACGAACTCTTCAAAGTGAAATGATCCCTGTCAGGGCCCTTATACCACTCTTTTCAGTTTCGGGAAGATAAGATCTGGCTCGATAGATCTTTATCTTCAAAATGAAATCTCTCGTACAATGAAGTTTCTATTGAAAAAAATCACCTTTCCGAATTTACAAAAAACGTAATTAATAATTCGATAATCCCGAGCTCTTGTGACGAGACTTGATACATAACAGCTTTCAAATCACAATTATACTCTAACGCGCGAAACAATCGCTGCAGGTTCCAAAGTAAGTAACTAGATCTCGAGGCGCAATTGGAATCCATCTAATATTAGAGTGCCAATTTGCGTTGCGCCTGGCAATAATAAAACTTGGCACATATGCATGGGCGTGCTCGCTTATAGCGGTAGTAGTAGTACAGTAGCCGAGAGCGAGGAGCGCGCGCGCGTAATATGCGGCAGCGGACTGCTGCTAAAAGGGGAGGAGACGATACTACGTATAACACAGCGCGGCGGAGAAGAGAATGCGGTGGCGCCCGAATACACCTCTAGGATATTGCCTTACATAGTCAACCGCAACGGTATGCAGCGCGTGCGAGTAATACTTACCCCTGCTATATAAAGGCATGCCTCGCACTCGCACTCGCATACGCACGCAGCCCGTCGTATTACGCCCTCGTTTCGATTCAGAAATGCGTATAATGTTCCTGCACTCGAGAGAGAGAAAGTAAAAGAAGTATTTGCAGCTCCTAATATCTCGTATTATACGTGAAAAGACATAATAGCAACGAGTGCGAGAGACTCTTTTTGCTCTCGATATAATATTCTTCCCCTATATACGTAGCTTCGAGTCACGGTGCAAGCATATGTAGTAATACGTACCGCAGAACTCGATGATCGCCTTTAGGTAATATAGGTGTTGTGACGATCGACCCTTGCACTCGAGGCTCCCGATGTATATAATAGTCTCGAGGAAATCAAAACGCAGCTCAGTCTCACTCGACGAGAGCTGAGAGGCTGTTTTATATTTCCGTATTGTACTCGCTCGCGCGCCACGTCGCGTTGGATTTGTGTCAATGATTTTCGGATGTGCTATACATTATACGAAGAAAATCCGCAGTGTACGATGAGAGAGAAACTCGAGAGCCTGGCTTGCACGCGGACATTATGAAATGATTATCGGGTTTTTTTGTCGCTGGAAGAATATTACGATGGGAGGGTTGATTGAAAGAGAGAAAGATGGCAGCTATATATAATAGGACGAGCCATACACATAAAGTAGATGCATGTCCATTGATAAGCGGAGCAGCAGCACCAGGTGCGAAATTTTTTCCCCGTTCAGCGGGAGAACGCGTACTGCAACGCGAACCGGTTGTATATACTTTATATTTTTATGTATGATGATAAACTTTTTGTATGGGATGATCTAGACGACGTGGCTTATATGGATAAAAAATCCAATTATTTATGGGTGTAGGGTTGCGCGATTGATGCTATACACGTACGGAAACATTGGTCTTTTCACTCTCGAGGACCCTCGAGCACATATGACACGCCCTACGCGCGTTATATCATAATGTGAAAAATATTTTACCCGCGCGCGAATATAAACCTCGACACTATCAAGTAATAATTACGTCGCTCGCGCGCGGAAGAGCTGCTGCTGTAGCGCGCCGCGTTATATTGCGCAACTGCTACGCGTGTATTTGCGTATAATGAATTCATCGGGGCGCGAGATGCTTGCAGGCTTGGAAGCTGCTGCCACTGCTGCTGCTGCTGCTTGCCTCGAGCACCGCGAGGAGATTCAACTCATTACGCGGAAAATGTGCCGACGCGTCGTCGTCGTCATCTTTGACGTCGAATGAAATTCGCGCGCGAGCTTGTACTTGCGGTGCCTGCTGCCTCTGCGCACCTACACATAACTCCGCGTTAATATTCACTCGCAGCTGCTGCTGCTGCGTGGAGTGGCGGTGACTGCATGTATACAATCTCTCTTGCTCGCGTTGAGTGCCAAAGTCGCGCAATCTTCTGCCTTCTACGTGTGTGTATACTCTTTGCTACGGTACAAAATATTCTCCGCGCGACAAATCGTCTACTAATGTACTTTGAAAGATTAAGTTAGTACGATCAATTAAATTCGACGTAATTGTCGAAAGTGACATAAAAAAAAGAACGAGCTTTAAATTGCGGAAATTATTTGGCTTCCTTTTTTTCTCGTATAACAGCTAATTGGCAAAAGACAATGACAATTTTGCACGCGTAAGTAGCGGGGAGTGAGCAATCGCCGAAAGTTTGGAGAGTATAAAATTAATCTCGACTGTTGGTGTGAATAACGGAATGAAACAGCAGCAACGGCAAGAGGAGAGGAAGGTTCGTGTCGACTCGTTGCAACGGCATGCACACAATGGTACCCGATGTACAAGCAGAGAGCATCAGAGGCGAAACGACAATTCAGCCATCGCTGCTGCCACTGCAAGCGAACGCGCGCATTGAAAACGACACACAGAATGGAATAATAAGGGCGACGCGATTCGTTTGTGCAGATGCAGTGCGGCTATACGCACGAGTATCTACGCTTTGGATGCGTATATAGCATAAAGTACAAGCATACGACGCGATGCAGCATCACGGCCAATAATCCTAATTACGAATCAATGTCCATTCTATTAGACGCGTGGTACGCGGCATACGGCGTCGTACGTTGCCCTATGCGCTGCACACACCCCTGCAGGCCAGTTTAGTCACACCGAATATTTTTTCTCGCTCGCAGCTTATACGTATACCGGGATCCACGTATTATATGGCAATATATGTAAAAGCCCCGAAACCGAGCGCGAATATAGCTTTTCGATGCGGGCATTGCGAGTTAGAACGACTGCGTATAGTGCTCATACATAGCAGCAGCCCTCCAAAATGTTGGAAGCTACGAGAGAACTCATTAGCCGATAAATCCGCAAGTAAAGCGCACGTGGAATAGAAAATTAGCAATCGCAGAGCAGAGCATTATCGTCGCGCGCAGCAATCACATACGTATACGCGTTCATACACACTGCGGCTAGAAGCGCTATTGTAAAGCTCGCAGTTGGGACGCGATACAGCATTGCTCCACTCCTTGTTTCGATGCTTCTCAGGGCCACGTATAAGCGATATTTATCGGAGCTTGCTCGCGTGTATTACTGAGTACGAGCGAGCGCAAGTGTCGGTGTACAGTCTGTACATAATTATCCACGATTATCTCTCCGTGCTCTCGACGTTTCTCAATTTTATTTTCTTTTTTGGTCACTAGTCTAGCTCGAATTTTGGCATGCTAATTGTTCCGTGCTC